CGCCGGTCCAAAGGGAACGGACCTATTCCCCCGTTACGGTCGCCGCCACCTTCGCGTGCTCACCCCCAATCAGAGCTTGGAGGACCTCGTTCATATCGTGAATTCTCTCCTAATAACACCTCTGCGCGTGGTTCATCCGGTCTACCGTACTCTGAGCCCAGACAACGGCCGAATCAAGATCATCACCAATTTGCCGAGCCTCAGCCTTTGGAAGGCGAGAAACCGACCAGAAGAGATTATCGAAGGGACAACTCTCCATCCGCACCTCCTCCATTCAAGCGAAAGAGAACGCAGAGTCCGTCCCCAGTGAGATCCTATTCACCTCGACAAGACCCGAGACATCACCATCCAGCTTCGGAGCAGTTTGACGATTTCGGTCGGGGCTACCCTCATAAAAAACGTGGACGATTTCCGGGGCGTGGCAGGGCGCGTCGAAGGTCTCCTAGAAGAGGAAGAGACCGGCGTAGGAAGGAATCCGATCGCTTCAAGAGTCCCAAGTCCCCCGCGCGTGATCCCAGGTCACCGAGGAACCCCCGTGAGCGATTTAACGGCCCGGACCCTGCAGGCGACATCGACCAAGAGTATCGCCATCGATCGACATCTCGCCATTCCATTAACTCAGCTGGTTCAAGATTTACAGCGACCTCGCGTCACAGCTCGAGGATTGACGCAACAATGAATCCTAGACCAATTCAGTCTGCGATGGACAGTTCTTTCAGATCTCCATCCCCATCTCGACCAGTCCCCAGCTTCGATGCTGAAATTGCCGGCGTCCCTCCAGACGGAGACCCCAATGCGCGTGAAAGGTTTCCTTTCCATGCAGAGCGGACATTGAATGCCAATAATAACCAGCGCTCTCACCCTTCACGACCACATGCGGACACGAGTCAATACTCCACCTCACCAAAGTACGGCCCATCAAGTAATTCCTATCAGGGATCCCCTCAATCTACGTCACCTCACCCTGGAGGTCGTGGGGGCTTGAGTGGACAAGCTCCTTATCCCAGGCCGCAAGGGTGAGTTTTCTTCCTTACTAGTTCAGAACCACTACAACATTTAGTGCAAGGCTAACACTAAGGTGCGAACAGGTCTGCACATTCGTCTCCATATCGTCAAAACAATTATCCTTCTCAGGGCGGCTCGCAAGACCAGTTCAGTCAAGGTCAAGCTCCGCCGACTGGTCCAGCCAACCACTCTCAACCGTATTCTGGTCCTTCTTACCGTGGTGGGCATTCAGGTTATCGTGGGAGCTTCCAAAACCATGGCCGCGACCGGCGATTTTCTGGCTCTGGTCACTCATCCTACAATACTGGGCCGTCCGGGCGAGGCCGTTTTAACAGTTTCCAATGGAGCGCTCGCGGCCGCGGCGGCTCTCACAGTCCTCATACCACTCATGCGGAGCCCTCACAAAGTCCTGCGCCCCTCCCGGGGGCAGAAGAGCAGAGTTTCGTAGGTGAGGGGGACAGAGACCGAGCTTTCGGGTCTCCGAGCAGAGATCTGCAAGGCGTGGATCAAGGTTCAAAACCATGTTCCGAGGATGGGGATTTTCAGAAGATGTCTCGACCTACACAACCATCCGACACCAACTCCACGCCGAATAAAGGCGGCAAGTTCAGCTTCGCCTTCAAAGCCAAAACCACGCCTGCCCCTGCCCCCAAGCCAGTTCCCGATCTGGCACAGAGGATGCAGGCTCGAGAACCTCCACCTCGTGTTGCGGAGCCCCCTCGCAGCAGAGTGCCTCTTGGCCCACCGCCGCGGTTCAAGCCTGAGCCACGCTTTGATCGCCGCGATCGAGACCGAGACCGGGATCGGCACCGGAATCGAGACCGGGACAGAGGAAGACGTGACCGGCGAGACTTTCCAAGGGAGCCGCGTAATTTTCGTGAGCCTAGAGATATTCGTGACAACCGAAAAGAAGATCGCCGCTTTGACCAGCGACATGATGGCAGGAAAGATGATCGCCGGCAGGACCCTCGTCCACCTCGCGGTCCTCGAGAACGTTCTCCGGGCGTGAAGCAACCCCGAATATTGACCCGACCCAAGCCTCGTCCTACTCTTCCAGAAGAGTACGCGAAGTCCGATTCCGTTTATTACCGAAAACCAGGGAACGAGTCCGTTATTGGTGCTGGCACCTACGGAAAAGTGTTTAAAGCAATACACGTTTACACCCAAAGGAAGGTGGCCCTCAAGAAGATACGTATGGAAGGTGAGAAAGACGGGTTCCCTGTTACGGCTGTTCGAGAAATCAAGCTCCTCCAGCACCTTCGTAACCACAATGTGGTCAGTTTACTCGAAGTTATGGTCGAGAGGAATGAGTGTTTTATGGTCTTCGAGTACCTTTCGCACGATCTTACAGGTCTCATCAATCACCCGACCTTCACCCTCACCGCTGCTCACAAGAAGGATCTCGCCAAGCAAATGTTTGACGGCTTGAACTACCTCCACCACCGGGGCGTTCTGCACCGCGACATCAAGGCAGCAAATATCCTCATTAGCAATAGGGGCTTGTTGAAGTTCGCAGATTTTGGATTGGCGCGGTTTTTCTCTAAGAGTCGCCAACTTGATTATACCAACCGCGTGATTACGATCTGGTATCGGCCACCGGAGCTTCTTCTCGGAGAGACCAGATACGGCCCTGCCGTAGACGTTTGGAGCGCGGGCTGTGTGTTTGTCGAATTGTTTACAAAGAAGGCTGTCTTCCCCGGAGAAGGGGGCGAAATCAGTCAGCTTGAAAAGCTCTACGCCTCTCTTGGGACGCCTACCCGGACTGAATGGCCTGACCTTGTGGAGATGCCCTGGTTTGAGCTCATGCGGCCGACGGAGCGCAAGAAGCGAGTCTTTGAAGACGTATACCGCGAAGTACTGTCTCCAGCGGCTTTGGACCTAGTTTCTCAGATCTTCCGATACGATCCTGCGAAGCGACCATCGGCGGAGGAAGTACTGACACACTCGTATTTTGTGTCAGAGGAGCCAGCTCCGCAACAAGCTGTCGAGTAAGTTTGCTAAGTATCTCTCTCTGTGACCTATGACTAACAGTTACAGGTTGGAAAATATCGAGGGTGACTGGCACGAATTCGAGTCAAAAGCACTGCGCAAGGAGAAGGATAAGGAAGCTCGTCGCGCAGAGTATCAGAAAGATAAAGAGAAAAGGAAAGCCGCTGTATCAGCTCCGCAAAGCGAAAGGGAGACGAAGCGCGTCAGACAAGACGTTGAGGAGCACCCACAGCCCTCGGCACAGCCTACTGAACAGTAGGCTCATGCTTTGTGCTCTTCTGTGCCGCATATATGCTTCATAGCAGTCACGAAATGCTTTGGCGTCGTTGCGACACCACTTAATCCATTGCCTGACTCGCCATAGGCGTCAGGTGTTCATGAGACTTTCTTCACATTACGAGCAAAGTTTCTGCTCCGAATCTCGCCTGCTCTACTATGAACAGAAGAGGACGGAGCGAGAGAAAGAACCCTAATTCTGTGGTTTAGCGGGTGGCATGAGCGGGATCTGCGGATTCGATCTAGCTAACATATCCTTCTATTCCGAATATTGAGTTGAGAGCCTGTGTGACAGGCAAATGTATAGACTCAGCTTAAATTCGATCCAAATTATTCTAACAGACATTGAAAAATGATCATACTCTTTTAACCCGGTAGATATCACTGGCGGGTGATAGACGGACAACCGCACGCCTATCAGAAGTTACAGAAGTTACATACTACATGAAGATCTTGTCAGCAACATAGAAATGAAGAAACAAAAGGCAGTCATAAAGTTTTCCAGCGTCTTGCGACAATCAGACTTTGCCTTTAAACCTCACGCTCAACCAGCCAGGCCACTACAGCACGATAGGGGCGGTTGAGCACCTCGGATTACCAGAGTACGAGTGCTTCGTCATGCATGCAAGGAGGACACCAGGAAAAGCCAACGTGGCCCACGATGGAGGACGGAAAGGGACATACGCACCGGCTCTACAAACACGAATCGTTATTTGTTACCACTGAGTAAATTCAAGGAGGGGTATAGCTGCTGCGCATTGGGACCAAATAATATTAGATCAAAAGTAATAAATGGGTATTCTAGAGGATGGAATGTCCCGTCATTCAGGTCATCACCGCATCATGGGTAGCTGGAAAGCCCTCGTGATGATGGTTTTAGACGCGGGGATTCTGTAGAGAATTTATCTCGACGCACTCATCGGAATCGCCAGAGCAGTGGAAGCGGTAGAACGATACGCAGCCAGCGATGATTTGAGTTGGTGGTCTTAGGTTTTGTTAAAAAAGAAGAAGAGAAGAGGGAGAAAAAAAGAGACGATTCTTTTAAGAAGGGGAAAAACGGCAGGAAAAACGATGGTGCGGGCGGAGAGGGCGGGACGGATGGTGATTGGCGGGATGCCAGAGGAGGGGAGCGGCAGAGCTCGAAGGAAACGTGAAAGACCAATGACCAGCGGATTTTGGGCAGTGGAAATGGTCCTTGAGTTCCTTGAGTGGTGATGATTCTGCTTTCTAGGTCTGTTCTTCTTAAGACTCTATACCTACCTACATACGTACAACAACCACCATCACCACTACCCTTACCACTACCTACCATCTAGGCACCTACACCCTACCTTCACTCTGCTATTGCTCTACTAGTAGTAGTATTCCACCAAACTCGTCCCTACTTGACCTATTACCTACCTTGCAGTAAACCCGCATCTTCTCCCCTCCACACACAATCTCACACACTTACACAGACTCACACCTCGTTAACGATCACGATCACGAATTTTTTTTACTATTTCTATTTATCTATTTGACCTGGCATCGATCTCGCCCATTAGCTTTCTCTTGTTTTTCAGATTTTCCGGCCGTTTCCTGCCCTTTTTTGAGGACTTGGTATTGCCGACTCTTTTTTCCGCCTGTCCTGGTTTCGCCCTGCGATAGCAGCTTCTCCTCGCATCTGCTTGCCGCGCCATTTTCTCTCCCTGATGACCGTTTGCTTTTCGACGGTCTGATTACCTAGCGCCATGGATAATGCAAACTTGTGGACTCGCAGGGCCAAGTATGTCCAGGATTTTCGTCGTTTACAAGCCATACCGTTCGGCGCGAGACTAACCTGTGTCGTGTGTCTTTCAGTTCCGCCAGATTGTCTCTGTCCATGACGGGAACCGACGCAAAGGACGGTGGCGCGAAACTCGATCTTCCCCGCAGTCACACATCAAAGCGTTTCGGCCCGGATAGCTCGCACGGTGGTCGATCGAATCCCTTCAATGCATTATCCCCCCTCTCCGGCGGCGTGTCTTCTCCTTCCACGAACGCTTCCTCCGCATTCGGCTTGGGTTCCGGCGCATTCGCGTCCTTTGGTACTCCCAAGACGCCTGGCACCAATGCATCAGACTTGAATTCGTCCAAAGCGCTGGGGGAGAAGCGAGAGACGGCTTCGGAGCAGGATTCGGCAGCGGAAGTCAAGGCCAAGGCTTCAGCCTCCTCCTTGAGTGGCTCGAAGGAGCATGCTCTGAAGTCTACCTGGGTGATCTGGTACCGGCCCCCGACACCCAAGTACTCTGACTATGAGAAGTCGACCATTCCCCTTGCGTCTATATCCTCGGTCGAGAGTTTCTGGTCGATATACACACATCTCAAGCGCCCATCTCTCCTTCCCACCGTCTCTGACTATCACATTTTCAAGAAAGGCATTCGTCCTGTATGGGAGGACGATGCCAACAAGAAGGGTGGAAAGTGGATTGTTCGGCTGAAGAAGGGAGTTGCTGACCGGTATTGGGAGGATCTTTTGCTGGCCATGATTGGTGACCAGTTCGCAGAGGCTAGCGATGAGGTCTGTGGCGCCGTTCTCAGTGTACGGAGCGGAGAGGATGTGTTGAGTGTCTGGACCCGGATTGACGGTGGGCGCAACATCAAGATCAGGTAAGTTGTCATATTTCATTCTTGATTGGCAGAACCCGTGGCACTCACTCTGTGCAGGGAGACGATCAAGCGTCTGCTTGCCTTCCCGGCCGACACCAACACCGTGTGGAAAAGCCACGATGACAGTATTGCTCAGCGCTCCGCAATTGACCAGGCTCGCCAGGAGAAGGCGGCCGGAAACGCGAGCCATCATCATCACCACCTGGCAGGGGACCGGCGAAGACCTACAGCGAATGATGAGTCCATGGGAGATAAAGGAAAAGCGGCGGCGTCTTGATTTACATGGTTTGATTCTCATTGAATGGTCCTGTATAGTAAAGAAGACGAAAACATTGGGACGTTTCTGGGCTCGGGGCATTGGGGCGAATCATTGCGTCTGACTTTCTGGTTGCTTTCTCATTTCTCATCTTGTGTTTCTTCTTCTTCTTTCTCATCTCGTGGTTCCCTGGTTTCTTTTCTCATTTCTTTGGGCAATACGAGACGTGATGCAGGTTAACGGACAGCGCTGGAGCAAGCGCAAATGTAAAATCATAATTTCCCACGAAGCTTCCATACACTACTAGCGTACCATTGATTCCTACTATGAGCTCATGCTCGAATGGCCTACAGTCAGATGCTACCTATTCTTACACGTAGGGTAATTACTAGCACGCTCTTTGCTCAAATGATCTCCACCCAATGACGATGCGGAATCACTGCAGCTTCCGCGTGCTTTTTCTTTTCTTTTTTTTAACCCGCAGGGCAGAAAATAACCGGCCGACCGCCTTTCTTGTTATCCATGCACGATATGATACTGGTCTCTTCTAATAATGTCTCTCTTGCTTCCGGTCTTATTGTTTCTTGCCCACTCCTCATGAAATCCGGAGTATGGTAGATCGTTAGCAACTTTACCGAACCCTGCTCTCATTACATGCCGCTTTTTGGGACAATATCAGAGTTTCTGGCCCCGCTGATTTCTCCCAGTCGCCGCTCAAATCATCAGGATCCCATCCCCGCTCCGCCATCAGATGCCACCTCTGATGAGCTACAACGGACTCAGGTGTCCGGCGTAAGCGATGCTCCTCGTCTAGGGTCTTTTGCGTCTGTCATTCAAGCCGGGATTGAATCACCTATCCAAACCCCCGATGTGAGTTGGGATCATGCCCTTTCCATTGTTCTAATTTCTTCTCCTATTGCCTATACCCTCTTGCGTATACATTGAATAATCATGATACGCTTTGAACATGCTCCTTCGCCTTCTGCCCCTGCAGCGACACAACGAGACTCACTGGATCTTATGCTTTAGAATCTCCATCGCTATGCCGAAAGATTTCGACCTTCCTCAGAATCTCGACCTGTACGTTTACTACTACGTCAGACCATTCCTCGATTACGTTTAGGGATGAGTCGTCTGTAAATATGGCCTCACACATGCGGATACGGTTTAGACAACGCTTATACGAAGCATACAGGTCTACACAAGATGCGTCGATGCGACGGGACCGCACAATTTCACGCCAGGACGAGCAGAGATTATTCCCTTCCTATTCTACACGGTACGTCACCGAGAAGCTGTCATATGTCGTGATATTTGTGCGGCTGGGAGCTGACGTTCTGGGGACTCGCTTCTAGTCCAAGTCCGAATGGAGTACCGATAGTACCTGGGGAGACATTCAAGAAATCCCCAGGAGAGACATCTAAGAAAAGGAACCCGTTACAGGTATGGTACTCTCGAGATGGGTCAATTCTCTTATGACTGGACTGACGTCGAGGGTTGGTAGAATGTCAAGGGTGTCTTCAAACCAGTGGACAAGCTCTCTTCCAAAGGTCGAGAGAGCGGGCCGGTACGCGCACGGGGAATGCATGGAAACCGCGGTGGGTATCAGACGTTTTCTGGGGTCAATATACCTCGTCCGCAGACCCGTCTAGAGCATGACCTTTCGGAGAGACCCATAAAGCGCCGGCGTCGAGATACTCAGAGCTCTCCAACCGAAAGTTTCATCGACCTTTCCGATGATAATGAAACAGGACATTCTGTTACTGAGTCGTCCTCTGTCATTGGAAACACCGCACGTCTGTCGCCCGGATCAAGCCAACAGTCACTAAGAGCCCATAAGTCAAAGCGATTCAAGCGCAACGCAGTTGATGAATTTCGACAGGTTGAGAAGAATATGAAGGTTACAGGGTCACAAGTTAGCCCCAAATTAGGGGCCAAGAGATTCCACCATCGCTTTTCCCCGGACGATGAACTGGAGCAGTGCTTCACTGAAAATGCTGCCAGGGAAAGGCGCTTTTCAATACCGAGTGTGAAGCATGAGGTTCTTCAGAGTGTTGAGATCCAAAAGCCACGGCGACTCGATAGGTCCGGGAGTCCATCCCTTCACGGTCATCCGACGAATGAACGAAGAGACTCAGAATCGCGAGAAAGCCCAGATGAACTGCAAGGGGCGGCGACGGTGCAGCCCACCCCGGACCTTTCCCGCGAGTTTCGTAAGAAAGACGTCAGGGGCGGCATTAACGCTGGGAATCAAGTGGCTCAAAGGAAGTCTTCACCAGCCGATATCCGACCGACTGTCTTCGTCCCTTCGTCGCATCAAGGAAAATTCAAGCGCAAGAATACCAGATCTGGAACACATCCTAGTGCCGACCGGTCTTTTCAAGCAACCTCTGTTCGATTCGGTACTATCACTGGACCTTCCTCGGGCGATGAGACCGTCGAGGTACATGTTGATCCAATCAATGAGAAAATCAAAATGACCGGGCCCGACCCCGCGAATTCGTTTCAGATACCCTTCAGCAAAGTTTTCAAGATCTTTCGAGGAACCTCGCCAAGCTGTAAAGTTAGGCTCGCTCTCAGGCCCGACAGTACCGGTGATCAATCGGTGGATATAAATCTCACATCCTTGGAAGCCAAGGAAGACCTTTACGCTTTGCTCGCCGCCAGTGGGGCTAAAGTCGTGGAAAAGGATGGGTACGTAATTTCTCCTATTGAAGCTGTTAATCCATGCTCACCAAGTTAGTAAATGGATGGATAATGCTTTCAAAAGAAACGAAAATACGAACACCTCAGGAAGGTATCTGAACGGAATCAAGCGATCATGCACTGAGATGCCTCCCGAAGAGGGTTCCGAGACCACAGTTGAAGTACCGAAACGGCCAAAGCTTTCAGCTTCGTTGCAAAACGATCTCAATACTAACGCAGTTTCGCAATCCGGCCCAAGAGTCTCGTCCTCAAATTCTAGACTCGCGCAGAAGTTACGAGAAACAGCTTCCTATGAACCGTCGAAAGCAACCTCTGTTAAAGCAGGTACTGAAGAGGCGGTGGAGATACCAGTCAAGACGTACACAGGAGAGGCCACACCTTCCAGTCGTGCAACAAGGTCCACGACGCGTCGTATGCTACCGACGACAGTGGTTTCGTGAGTATGAGCTAGCTTCTAGAAAGGAATTTTGCTAATCTGGCGTCGCAGCGATGATGAAGAGGAAAACTCGCCTCAACAGCAATGCGAAAAGATTTCCCAAAAGTGGCAGAGGTCTGTTGAACACTATTCGCTTCAATCATCGCCTTGCAGAGACTAATGGACTTGATAGGCCACTTGTATACCCACGTTTCGGCAAGAAGAAAGCTGAAGTTGACGGTCAAGATCTTGAACGACTGCGTGATAACGAGTTCTTGAACGACAACCTGATCGGCTTCTACATACGCTTCTTGGAGGATCATCTGGAACGAAACAACAAGGAAGTATCCAAGAGAGTTTACTTCTTCAATTCGTACTTTTTTGCAACACTTACGAACTTGCCTAGAGGTAAGCAAGGTATCAATTACGAAGGCGTTCAAAAATGGACGAGGAATGTCGACATATTCAGTTACGATTATATCGTGGTCCCTATCAATGAAGCAGCGCATTGGTATGTTGCGATTATATGCAACCTACCGAAACTTCCGGGCATTGCCAAGGAAGAAGTGGCGATTGATGAACCTGCGGAAGGAAGCACAGAGCCTTCAGTGCCACCAAAGCGTGACGATTCGGAGAATCCGAACGCGCCAGAGGCCGTTAGAAAAATACCTTCCGGCAGTGGAGAGACCGAAACTGGCGCTCGTTCTGCACCCCATCCGGAAAAGGAGGAATTGGCAAGGGAGTCATTGGCTGCCATGAGCTTGTTGGACCAAAAGGAGATGAAAGAAAGAGAGGAGCTGGAAGTCCCTCCTTCTGACGAAGAGTGGCCAGAGAAAGAGGAGAACCCCGTATCCTCTCCCGCAAAGCTCTCGAGTCCGCCAAGAGATACTGAGCCCTCCAAGCAGGTCAATTCTCAAGATGCAAGTCAATCCTCGGTCTCAGGAAGTCAAAAGTCACGGAAGCCAAAGAAAAAGCGCCCGGGGCCAAGGTATGATGTATGGCAGCCGACGGTCATCACGTTCGACTCACTAAATCTGTCACGCTCTCCCACCATCAGCGTCCTGCGCAACTATCTCCGTGAAGAGGCCCAATCCAAACGTGGCCTCGAGATTGACACAACCCTGATCAAGGGGATGAAAGCTCAAGAAATTCCATTGCAGCCCAACTACTCGGATTGTGGCCTCTATCTGCTCGCATATGTGGAGAAATTTGTACAGGACCCGGACACATTTGTGACGAAATTGCTCCGAAGAGATATGAGAGAGGAGAACGATTGGCCTCCGCTAAGGTCAGGGCTTCTTCGTTCTCGATTGCGCAAGTTTCTTGACGATTTGTATGACGAACAAGAACAACTGAGTCGCGAGAAGGCGGCTGAAAGGGCTACCATGGCGGACCGACAGCCAATATCTTATCTTCTTGGACGTTCTGAAGACAAGACTGATCATGCAGCTGAAAATATGGTGGATGCATCCGCAACGCGATCTGAGAAGTCGCCAATCAGAGACCCACCACCCGAGAAGTCCGGCTTACAGCCTGCTCAGAAGGCAAAACTAGGGGACTCGCAGTCCGTGGCTAGGAGCTTGTCCAGAGAGGGTACGCCAGATAGTAAGATGAAAGCGAAAAGGTCACTGCCTCAGACGATGGCAGCAAGTGCATCAGGGAGCACTACTCACAAGGAAGTTGTCGAGGTCCCTGACAGTCAAGAACAAGTCCAACCGGAGAATGAGACGTCGCCTTGTCTCCTTCAAGTTGAAGACTCTCAAGGTGGACAAGCGCGATCTCAGCCTCAGGGTCCAAAACCTATTAAAGAAGGCGCAGAACAAATACAGATACCTCATCAATCTGCGGATGACAGCATTGTTGAGGTTCAAGTCCTTGGGACGCCTCCGCCAGGGTTGTC